TCTTTCCATCCGGCAATTGACACCAATTGCCCTCGACATCCATTCATTTCCCACTCCCTTTCTTGGAAGAATGCCACATATGATCGGGATTCCTCCCTTGCTCCTAACTAATTCAATGGCTGTCCTGAATCTCTGTATTAGTTCCTCACTCCTAACTCGTCCAACATCATTACCCCCTGCACTAATACAAATAATGGGTTTGTTCCCATTTCCTGTCATAATATCATTCATGTTTCCAACAATATCACCAATTCCAGCTCCCGGATAGCAAACCCTTAATCTGTTCCCCCTATCTCTGGCAATACAGTAGTGAATATGTAGATGATGAGTCACAATAACGTGACTCATCAATGTTGACCAAACCACACACTAGAAACTGAAGACACGGCTTTGAAATGGATGGAAGGAGCCAGATTGTGTTGACTCTTAACTCCGTCTCATTGAGATGATGATACTCAAAAGCCGAGTATCATCATCAAAAGATGATGATACTTTTCAAGACGCTAGTGCTTTCTAGAGTGGAGTACTGCTGCACAATGACAGCCCCTTTCAAAGCTGGAGAAATTGCTGACCTGGAGAGCGTGCAGAGATCCTTTACTGCTAGAATCCACTCAGTAAAACATCTAAACTACTGGGACCGACTAAAGAGCCTAAATCTGTATTCTCTTGAGCGCAGGCGGGAGAGATACATAATAATTTATACGTGGAAAATATTAGAGGGGCTAGTCCCAAACCTGCACACAGAAATAACATCACATGAGACCAGAAGGCATGGCAGGATGTGCAGAATACCCCCGTTGAAAAACAGAGGTGCAACAGGTACTCTGAGAGAGAACTATCAACATCAGAGGCCCGAGACTGTCCAACACGCTTCTGCTACATATAAAGGGCATAACTGACCGACCCCTCACAGTGTTCAAGAGAGAACTGGATAAACACCTCCAAAGGATACCTGATCAACCAGGCTGTGATTCGTACGTCAGGCTGCGAGCAGCCGCGTCCAACAGCCTGGTTGACCAGTCTAGCAACGAGGAGGCCTGGTCGGGGACCGGGCCGCGGGTACGCTAAGCCCCGGAAGCACCTCAAGGTAGGTTCTCTTTCAACGGTAAATACTACTCTCAAACTTTCGATGTTGCTATGGGCTCTCCTCTCCCCCTGTTCTTGCCAATCTCTACATGGAATACTTCGAAACCGTCCTCCTTCCCACTATTGGTACTCGTCCCTCTCTCTGGCTTCGCTACGTTGATGACTTTTTGCTTCATGGCCTCTTGACCTTAATCTTTTCCAGCATTTCCTCTCCTCTCTTAACAATTTGGCTCCTTCCATCCATTTCAAAGTTGAATGGAATCTAATTCCCTCCTTCCTTTTCTTAACGTTCACAGCTCTGTGTCCGGGTTCTCTTTCTCTATCTACCGCAAGCATAGTGGTATGTATATACACTTCTTTTCCTACCATCCTCCTCCTGTTAAGAAAAGTGTCCTCGTCTCTCTCTCTTCCTACGCATCAGCGATCCTCAGTTTCTGAAATGACCTTTATCTACAAATCTCTCTCTTGCCTTGGTTACCCATTATATTTTATCAACTGTGCTTATTCTCAAGCTAAACGTAATTTCTTTCATCCTAAACCTGCTTCCAACTGTGCTCTCCCTTCCCTTCATATCTGAACTCAAAACTCTTACTAATACCCTTCGTCCTCTTGACATAAAACTCACCTTTCGACGAACTAACACACTTCGTACTAATCTAGTTCACACTGCTCCTCCTGCTTCTAATGCTGCTGGTGTCTACTCTCTTTCCTGTTCGTCATGTCCTCGCCAATACTTTGGGGAAATTGACCGTAAACTTAATGACAGACTTAAGGAACATAAAAGAAGCGTTAAGTCTGCAGACACAAACAATGTTCTTTTGTGTCATGTTAGGGATTCTAATCATCCTATTGATTGGTCTTCCTCTAAAATAATCTTTCCTGTCTCTGCTCTTCACAGACGCCGTCTTGTCGAAGCGGCTCTGATACAAAACCTTCCCAACATGAACTTGAGTCCTGGCATTGTTGCTGTTAACTCTTCCATTTCACAGTATATACTTAAATGTTCTAAACTTTCTAACAAACGTGACCTAACATAAGACTACCCTTCTTTTATTTATTTCTTTTCTTTTACTTTCTCTTTCGTTTTATTTACTTCTTTTTATTACCCCTTTCATAGCCTTTATTACCCCTTTATACCTTTTACCCCTATCTTTCGCCTTGCTTCTACCTTCCTCCAAGAATTCCTCCTCACCTCTTGCCTTACTGATGCCCGTGCCTTTAACGTCTCTTCACCCAAGTTACAGCCCCGCTCCTGTGCCAGGTAAGTCCATTACGGGCTCACCATAGCCCGTGCTACTTGCAACTTTTTGTCCCAGTAGCTGAATCTAAAACAACAACTCGTCTCTTCGTAATCGAGTTGATAATGGTCCAGGTCGGACCGAAGCGTCGTCGTCTCTTCAATTTTTAGTGTGTGGTTTGGCCAACGGTAGTGAATATTTATGTAATACGGGGATGTGCATCTAGGAACTAATAATACCGTAAATCACATAATATTGCTAGCCGGAAATTAAGGAGACAATTTCTTATGTTAATAGAGTCAACAGGATAATAGTATTAGAAGATCAAGTAACTGGCAACTCGTCCCCATCCACCTAGCGACCTGGGACAGATTCACGAAGTAGTTACGCAAGCACTTACGAACGTGTACATCTTTCCTCAATCTTTGACGGCTTTGGTTACATTTATTAAACAGTTTACAAGCTTGAAAACTTCCCAGTTAACTGTTGTTATTGTTATAAACAACCTGCTGGTGCTTCGGAGCTCATTAACTGTTTATTAAGTGTAAACAAAGCCGCCCAAGATTGACAAAAAGGTGTACAGGTTCGTAAGTGCTTGCGCAACTGCTTCGTGAATCTGGCCCCTGGGACAGGAGGACGGGCAAACATAACCCAGTAATGGGTCTACTCTCGGGGAAACTAACTACCTGTACCATACGTTGAGTACCTGCACGAAAGGTTTGAACATATAAATATATTCATATATTACAAATAGTAAAAACAGCAAGTAATAGATTGACCAGATCACACACTAGTAGGTGAAGGGACGACGACGTTTCGGTCCGTCCTGGACCATTCTCAAGTCGATTGACAATCTAGTGTGTGGTCTGGTCTAGTGTGTGGTCTGGTCTAGTGTGTGGTCTGGTCTAGTGTGTGGTCTGGTCTAGTGTGTGGTCTGGTCTAGTGTGTGGTCTGGTCTAGTGTGTGGTCTGGTCTAGTGTGTGGTCTGGTCTAGTGTGTGGTCTGGTCTAGTGTGTGGTCTGGTCTAGTGTGTGGTCTGGTCTGGTGTGTGGTCTGGTCTGGTGTGTGGTCTGGTCTGGTGTGTGGTCTGGTCTGGTGTGTGGTCTGGTCTAGTGTGTGGTCTGGTCTAGTGTGTGGTCTGGTCTAGTGTGTGGTCTGGTCTAGTGTGTGGTCTGGTCTAGTGGGTGGTCTGGTCTAGTGGGTGGTCTGGTCTAGTGGGTGGTCTGGTCTAGTGGGTGGTCTGGTCTAGTGTGTGGTCTGGTCTAGTGTGTGGTCTGGTCTAGTGTGTGGTCTGGTCTAGTGTGTGGTCTGGTCTAGTGTGTGGTCTGGTCAACATATTTTAGCCACGTTATTGTGACTCATTGCCTGCAGCAAGTAATAAAGATGATAAATCACAGTGTCGACGGGGAGGTGAGGTGTAGTTCCCTTTGTTGTGATAATTCGCCTTGTCGTAAATGTTGCGTTATAATTGAACTATCTCGACGTTCGAATTCTTCGTCGAATCTGGCCTTAAAGTTGTGGATGGAGAGGTGGCTTCCACAACTTCTGTTAGCGGTACGAGTACGTACGTACCCACAGGGGTACGAGTACGTACGTACCCACAGGGGTACGAGTGGCACCTTGTGCTGGTACCTTCCTCCTAAAATGAAAGTAAAGTTACGATGTGGTCGATCTGGACGTGACGGACCATCAGAAAGCAGACTTTTGTATTACTGATTTTGGACAAAGGTTACCTGGTTGATACCTGGTTGATACCTGGTTGATACCTGGTTGATACAGGTTCGTTCCCATAGGCTCTTGAGACTCTTGGGCGCCTGGGGTAAATGTGCACTTAAGTTCTTAAAGGAGGTGGGAGAGGAACTCATTGGGTAAACTAAAGACCTACGAACAGCCAGTTTCCTGTTCCAGCGCCTCAGTGTCGCAGTTCAGAGAGGAAATGCGTGCTGTATCCTGGGTACGCACCCAACCTCCGAGGAGCTGGATGAGGTCTTCGAACACTGATTGTTATATGGTCATATATATGTGTGTGTTGAGTGAGAGGAGGGCGATGAGTCGTGCTTGTCAGCAACAGAATGAATCTCCTCAGTCAGTCAGTTTTCCCGGTGACGCCAATTCAGCGCAGAATCAACGTCATCAACGCAGATTCAACCCCCCCCCCCCCCCCCACCATCGGACACTGTGCCCTCTGGCCATTGGACACTGTGCCCTCTGGCCATTAAACACTGTGCCCTCTGGCCATTGAACACTGTGCCCTCTGGCCATTGAACACTGTGCCCTCTGGCCATTGAACACTGTGCCCTCTGGCCATTGAACACTGTGCCCTCTGGCCATTGAACACTGTGCCCTCTGCCCATTGAACACATGTTAGGAACATTTCATTTGATTCAGTGTCACACGAGGAAATCACGCCCACCGCCCAGTGGGTACACTATAGCAAGAGTGGCGTTGGTTCGACATTGAAGCACCAACGATGACGTTGAATTGGCGTTACTCTTGTGCGTTGTGGCCACTGGGCGGCTGGGCGTTATCAGAGCTGAGCAGGTTGGGTTCGACTTGGCGGGCCCGAACTGGATCGGTCATGATGGCGCTGCAGCGTATTGTTCTCTTTAAATGATCCATATCTCGTGTTGCTAAGAGAGGAGGACCGAAGGTGTGTGGTGGCAAAAACACTTGACGATGGGCCAATTACGCGGGCGTCGCTGGACCAATTGCGCGGGCGTCGCTGGGCCAGTTGCGCGGGCGTCGCTGGGCCAATTGCGCGGGCGTCGCTGGGCCAGTTGCGCGGGCGTCGCTGGGCCAATTACGCGGGCGTCGCTGGGCCAATTGCGCGGGCGTCGCTGGGCCAGTTGCGCGGGCGTCGCTGGGCCAATTACGCGGGCGTCGCTGGGCCAATTGCGCGGGCGTCGCTGGGCCAATTGCGCGGGCGTCGCTGGGCCAATTGCGCGGGCGTCGCTGGGCCAATTGCCCGGGCGTCGATGGGCCAATTGCCCGGGCGTCGATGGGCCAATTACGCGGGCGTCGCTGGGCCAATTGCCCGGGCGTCGCTGGGCCAATTACGCGGGCGTCGCTGGGCCAATTGCGCGGGCGTCGCTGGGCCAATTACGCGGGCGTCGCTGGGCCAATTGCGCGGGCGTCGCTGGGCCAATTGCGCGGGCGTCGCTGGGCCAATTACGCGGGCGTCGCTGGGCCAATTGCGCGGGCGTCGCTGGGCCAATTGCGCGGGCGTCGCTGGGCCAGTTGCGCGGGCGTCGCTGGGCCAGTTGCGCGGGCGTCGCTGGGCCAGTTGCGCGGGCGTCGCTGGGCCAGTTGCGCGGGCGTCGCTGGGCCAGTTGCGCGGGCGTCGCTGGGCCAGTTGCGCGGGCGTCGCTGGGCCAGTTGCGCGGGCGTCGCTGGGCCAGTTGCGCGGGCGTCGCTGGGCCAGTTGCGCGGGCGTCGCTGGGCGAGTTGCGCGGGCGTCGCTGGGCCAGTTGCGCGGGCGTCGCTGGGCCAGTTGCGGGGGCGTCGCTGGGCCAGTTGCGGGGGCGTCGCTGGGCCAGTTGCGGGGGCGTCGCTGGGCCAGTTGCGCGGGCGTCGCTGGGCCAGTTGCGCGGGCGTCGCTGGGCCAGTTGGGCGGGCGTCGCTGGGCCAGTTGGGCGGGCGTCGCTGGGCCAGTTGGGCGGGCGTCGCTGGGCCAGTTGGGCGGGCGTCGCTGGGCCAGTTGGGCGGGCGTCGCTGGGCCAGTTGGGCGGGCGTCGCTGGGCCAGTTGGGCGTGGTGTGGGAGGAGGTAGTGCCGGTAGTGGTGGGAGCGTCAAGGTCACGAGGTGTGGGAAGTGAAGGTCATAACGAGGTTGTTGTTGTTGTTATTGATTCAGCTACTCGGAACAAGTTCCAAGTAGCACGGGCTATGGTGAGCCCGTAACTTACCTGGCACAGGAGCGGGGCAAGTAGCACGGGCTATGGTTAGCCTCTCCATAACGAGGATAACACCGGTCACCCATCCAACGCCATCGTCCCTCACACTAGAGCAGAGAGAGTAGTGTCAATCAAATATATTATAAAAACATCATTTTTGCATGTCAGTCAAAAATCACTTTTGCCACCCCCCCCTCCCCACCCCCCAACTGTTATGGGAAAACTTTGAAGCAAAAAAAAGATTGCAATTGGAACACTGCAAGGATCTAGCTAACCTGTTACAGCAAGGAAAAGAAATGCAATAGACTCACAGGTGGTTACTCTTGGTGTTTAAGGCACGGAACAGTGACTATAATTACTGAAAGATGCACACACCAGTGCTCTTGGACTGCAGTATTTCTGCACGTTAAAAGCCCCATTGAAAGCTCTTGTAATGGTTGACGTGGATAATGCGCATGCGACACTATACCTGCCACCATCCCCACACACTAAAACCATTAGCGGCCTCTAAAGCGTGTTAAATTGCACTCACTCGAGCGCAGACATTGACGGTATTATTTATTCTTTGGAAAAATGCTCGCGATACAAGTTCCAAATTTGCGCACTCTAATTATTCACTATGAGAGGAGGCGGCATGTTATTATACAAGGAAAAAAAGCTCGAGTGAAAATCAGATGTGCGGCGAGTGCACTAGCTGATAACTATTAGTACAGATAGGCCAAGGAATTGCAATATTTTTGTTTCAAATGTAAGCTGAATTACCAGCCTACCTCTGACCTTGGGGAGGGTGGGTGGAAACTAGATGCTCAAAATTGACACCTCCATCCAGTCTGCCGACGTTATAATCACAGCTTGCAACAAACTTTATTCCACTGCAACATCTCTGGGTTTATAATACATTGTCACCACCTGGGCGAGAGTTCAAGTCACTCCATTGCCCCGTAATCATTTTCATGGATATATAGCGCCATGGTGATATCATATCAAAATTGCCACATTATTATACATTAAAAGTAAAATCTTGTCTTAATACATAAATTTAAATTTCGAGGATAATAGAAAACCAGCTGTTTATGATTTTTAGTCTATATACAACTTACACATTACTCATACATATGGCCTTTATATATTAGAGGCAAAAGGTGGATATAGAGCAAGAATTTCAGATATTTTATCATTTGTAGTATAATGATTTGTCATTAGTAGAAGAACTCTCAGAACCCCATCAAGCAGATGTCGTTTAATGCCACGTTTACCTTGTGTTGGTACCGGGGATCAATGTCCCCTACAGCCCGGTCTTTGACCAGGAATGTGGCTGGTGGTCAAACAGATCGATAGACGCTCCCAGTTTGACGAATAAGTGGCGGTATACTTTGCAGCTTCGTCAAGTTCTGGTTAGAACACCACGAGAGATGGCAACCCGTTCTCCCACTTGCTTATAGCCAATATTGGTTTATTTAATAAGTGCATATGTGACATACTAATTGATTGAATATTTTAGTTTACCTTGAAAAGCTTCATAGAAAACACCGACCTCACCTAACCTTCTTAGTATGTTAAGTTAAGCATCTTGTTGCTTCTTAATTACAATTATTACTTAATCTATACCGTTGATAGGTTAACTAACAATTGTAATTAAGAAGCAATAAGATGCTTATCTTAACATACTAAGAAGTTTAGGTGAGGTCGGTGTTTTCTATGAAGCTTTTCAAGGTAAACTAAAATATTCACAATCAATTAGTATGTCACATATGCACTTATTAAATAAACCAATATTGACTATAAGCAAGTGGGAGAACGGGTTGAGAGATGGACCAGTTATGCCACTTACGTTTAGAGGCAGTGTGGACAATTATTAGGCCCCTTAATGTTGATAAAATCGTCTCTTAGCCCTGCTGACCTTGCGACCTTACCTAGTGATGATTTCGGGGCTCAACGTCAGCCTGCGGCCCGGTCCTCGACCTGATCCTCCTGGTTGCTGGACTGGTCAACCAGGCTGTTGGACGCGGCTGCTCCCAGCGTGATGTATGAATGACAGCCTGGTTGATCGGGTGACCAGGGCCCAGATTCACGAAAGCACTTACGCAAGCACTTACGAACGTGGTACATCTTTCCTCAATCTTTGACGGCTTTGGTTACATTTATTAAACAGTTTACAAGCATGAAAACTTTCCATTCAACTGTTGCTACTGTTATAAACAGCCTCCTGGTGCTTCGGAGCTCATTAACTGTTTAATAATTGGAAACAAAGCCGCCAAAGATTGACAAAAGATGTACAGGTTCGTAAGTGCTTTCGTGAATCTGGCCCCAGGACAACTTTATTTATGAACGCTGTTCAAACCTCCTGACAATGTAATTGATATTAACACGAGGTCAGAAGACTTTGAATAGTAAATTGTCAACATGCCCATGCACTCGGCCCCTGGTCCTGCCTCGTGGAATTCAATATTCATAAAGAAATATAAAGTGCCAGTAGCGCGAGCGCTCAGTGTAATATGGAGAAAAAGTTTGTATACATGTGAGATACGAGAAGCGCTTAAATCAGCAAATAAAGCTCCACTGCACATAGAGGTAGTAAAGTTTTGGCTAAAACTTTACTATCAGTCGCAGTCTTAATCAAAGTTGAAGTGTAAGATCTAAAAAGTTGTGACTGTAAAGTCTATGATCTGAGAACCCTACCTTGAGGCTACCTTGAGGTGCTTCCGGGGCTTAGTGTCCCCGCGGCCCGGTCCTCCTACCTTGAGGCTACCTTGAGGTGCTTCCGGGGCTTAGTGTCCCCGCGGCCCGGTCGTCGACCAGGCCTCCTGGTTGCTGGACTGATCAACCAGGCTGTTAGACGCGGCTGCTCGCAGCCTGACGTATGAGTCACAGCCTGGTTGATCAGGTATCCTTTGGAGGTGTTTATCCAGTTCTCTCTTGAACACTGTGAGGGGTTTGCCAGTTATGCCCCTTTATTTATGCCAAAATACCCAAGGTATTTTGAAAAAAGACAGTCTATTGGCATGGTATCAATCTTTAGTTTTTGTGTTCCACTTCTGCGATTACCGATTTGTCAGTTAAACATCTTAAGATTTTTCAGAGTTGATTGCAATACCAAGGCTCCCACAAGCTCTTCTGTGTGCAATTTAAGATTGCCTGCATATAGCGATGGGTTCTGGTATGTACAAGGATATCATCTCCTGCATACCTCAGTGTTTTTTTTTTAGGACTTGTTGGGAATGATTTGAGTAAGGATAGTTGTTTAGTACATTGAACAAGGTGGGGTTTAATACTGAACAAGGTGGGGTTTAATACTGAACAAGGTGGGGTTTAATACTGAACAAGGTGGGGTTTAAGACTGAACAAGGTGGGGTTTAAGACTGAACAAGGTGGGGTTTAATACTGAACAAGGTGGGGTTTAATACTGAACAAGGTGGGGTTTAAGACTGAACAAGGTGGGGTTTAATACTGAACAAGGTGGGGTTGAATACTGAACAAGGTGGGGTTGAATACTGAACAAGGTGGGGTTTAAGACTGAACAAGGTGGGGTTTAAGACTGAACAAGGTGGGGTTTAATACTGAACAAGGTGGGGTTTAATACTGAACAAGGTGGGGTTTAATACTGAACAAGGTGGGGTTTAATACTGAACAAGGTGGGGTTTAAGACTGAACAAGGTGGGGTTTAATACTGAACAAGGTGGGGTTGAATACTGAACAAGGTGGGGTTTAATACTGAACAAGGTGGGGTTTAATACTGAACAAGGTGGGGTTCAATACTGAACAAGGTGGGGTTTAATACTGAACAAGGTGGGGTTTAATACTGAACAAGGTGGGGTTTAATACTGAACAAGGTGGGGTTTAATACTGAACAAGGTGGGGTTTAATACTGAACAAGGTGGGGTTTAATACTGAACAAGGTGGGGTTTAAGACTGAACAAGGTGGGGTTTAAGACTGAACAAGGTGGGGTTTAAGACTGAACAAGGTGGGGTTTAAGACTGAACAAGGTGGGGTTTAAGACTGAACAAGGTGGGGTTTAATACTGAACAAGGTGGGGTTTAAGACTGAACAAGGTGGGGTTTAATACTGAACAAGGTGGGGTTTAAGACTGAACAAGGTGGGGTTTAAGACTGAACAAGGTGGGGTTTAAGACTGAACAAGGTGGGGTTTAAGACTGAACAAGGTGGGGTTTAATACTGAACAAGGTGGGGGTTTAAGACTGAACAAGGTGGGGTTTAAGACTGAACAAGGTGGGGTTTAAGACTGAACAAGGTGGGGTTTAATACTGAACAAGGTGGGGTTTAATACTGAACAAGGTGGGGTTTAATACTGAACAAGGTGGGGTTTAATACTGAACAAGGTGGGGTTTAATACTGAACAAGGTGGGGTTTAATACTGAACAAGGTGGGGTTTAATACTGAACAAGGTGGGGTTTAATACTGAACAAGGTGGGGTTTAATACTGAACAAGGTGGGGTTTAATACTGAACAAGGTGGGGTTTAAGACTGAACAAGGTGGGGTTTAAGACTGAACAAGGTGGGGTTTAAGACTGAACAAGGTGGGGTTTAAGACTGAACAAGGTGGGGTTTAAGACTGAACAAGGTGGGGTTTAAGACTGAACAAGGTGGGGTTTAAGACTGAACAAGGTGGGGTTTAAGACTGAACAAGGTGGGGTTTAAGACTGAACAAGGTGGGGTTTAAGACTGAACAAGGTGGGGTTTAAGACTGAACAAGGTGGGGTTTAATACTGAACAAGGTGGAGTTTAATACTGAACAAGGTGGGGTTTAAGACTGAACAAGGTGGGGTTTAATACTGAACAAGGTGGGGTTTAAGACTGAACAAGGTGGGGTTTAAGACTGAACAAGGTGGGGTTTAATACTGAACAAGGTGGGGTTTAATACTGAACAAGGTGGGGTTTAATACTGAACAAGGTGGGGTTTAAGACTGAACAAGGTGGGGTTTAAGACTGAACAAGGTGGGGTTTAAGACTGAACAAGGTGGGGTTTAAGACTGGACAAGGTGGGGTTTAAGACTGAACAAGTTGGGGTTTCTGGTGAAGCAATTATACACAATTTTCATTTTGCCCCGTCCACCGTCACCCTGGGGCGAGACGGTCAGTGCTGTCCATGCCGTATGGTACAGCCCATGGTACAGCTCATGGTACAGCCCATGGTACAGCTCATGGTGCAGCCCATGGTACAGCCCATGGTACAGCCCATGGTACAGCTCATGGTGCAGCTCATGGTACAGCTCATGGTACAGCTCATGGTACAGCCCATGGTACAGCCCATGGTACAGCCCATGGTACAGCCCATGGTACAGCTCATGGTACAGCTCATGGTACAGCCCATGGTACAGCCCATGGTACAGCCCATGGTACAGCTCATGGTACAGCCCATGGTACAGCTCATGGTACAGCTCATGGTACAGCCCATGGTACAGCTCATGGTACAGCCCATGGTACAGCTCATGGTACAGCTCATGGTACAGCTCATGGTACAGCTCATGGTACAGCCCATGGTACAGCCCATGGTACAGCTCATGGTACAGCTCATGGTACAGCCCATGGTACAGCCCATGGTACAGCCCATGGTACAGCTCATGGTACAGCTCATGGTACAGCCCATGGTACAGCCCATGGTACAGCCCATGGTACAGCTCATGGTACAGCTCATGGTACAGCCCATGGTACAGCTCATGGTACAGCCCATGGTACAGCCCATGGTACAGCCCATAGTACAGCTCATGGTACAGCTCATGGTACAGCTCATGGTACAGCTCATGGTACAGCCCATGGTACAGCCCATGGTACAGCTCATGGTACAGCCCATGGTACAGCCCATGGTACAGCCCATGGTACAGCCCATGGTACAGCTCATGGTACAGCCCATGGTACAGCTCATGGTACAGCCCATAGTACAGCTCATGGTACAGCCCATGGTACAGCCCATGGTACAGCCCATGGTACAGCCCATGGTACAGCCCATGGTACAGCTCATGGTACAGCCCATGGTACAGCCCATGGTACAGCCCATGGTACAGCTCATAGTACAGCTCATGGTACAGCCCATGGTACAGCCCATGGTACAGCCCATGGTACAGCTCATGGTACAGCCCATGGTACAGCTCATGGTACAGCTCATGGTACAGCCCATGGTACAGCTCATGGTACAGCCCATGGTACAGCCCATGGTACAGCCCATAGTACAGCTCATGGTACAGCTCATGGTACAGCCCATGGTACAGCTCATGGTACAGCCCATGGTACAGCCCATGGTACAGCTCATGGTACAGCCCATGGTACAGCCCATGGTACAGCTCATGGTACAGCCCATGGTACAGCCCATGGTACAGCTCATGGTACAGCCCATGGTACAGCCCATGGTACAGCTCATGGTACAGCCCATGGTACAGCCCATGGTACAGCCCATGGTACAGCCCATGGTACAGCTCATGGTACAGCCCATGGTACAGCCCATGGTACAGCTCATGGTACAGCTCATGCTGTACCTACACTAGACAGACTTTGCATATTTGGCTAAGTTTTTTTGGTTGTGTATGACACAATTCATAACGTTATCTTGAGAGGTTATCTTGAGGGCTTTAGTGTCCCCGCGGCCCGGTCCTCGACCAGGCCTCCACCTCCAGGAAGCAGCCCGTGACAGCTGACTAACACCCAGGTACCTATTTTACTGCTAGGTAACAGGGGCATAGGGTGAAAGAAACTCTGCCCATTGTTTCTCGCCGGCGCCTGGGATCGAACCCAGGACCACAGGATCACAAGTCCCGCGTGCTGTCCGCTCGGCCGACCGGCTCCCTAGTGTTAGTGATACTTCTCTCAATTGTTGCATATTTTCACATTTCGTCACATAATGATTTAGGGAATGTGTGAATAGTTATCCTGGCAATTTACATTTGGTGACATCTGTATCCGCAAGATGTTGTAAATTCCCAGAGATACTTACAGTCGAGCCTAAGCAGAGTTGTAGTTATATGTAGGGAGTCCTCGGATTTTATTAGATGATCCATAGATATGTAAACACCGAAATCACAATAGCGTGATGCATTTGTATATATCATTTGTATGCAACCGGTTAAGGACGTGATGTAAAATCACAATAGCGTGGATTTGTTCATAGATATGTAATTCTACTGTCATGTCAGCAGTTGCCCACATCGAGGGAATACCATCAGCTGCACAGAGAAGGTTGGCTAATATTAGATCCACGTTTCGGAATCTGAACAAAGAATCGTTCGGGAATCTGAACACACAACGCACAAATTTCAGACCGCTTCAGGAATAGCTCCGCTGCACGCGACACTGGCGGGGAGTCCTTCTCGTTAAACTCAACATGAAGCTGGAGAAAGTTGAGAGTATGCTACCGGATTTGTCCAGAGCTAAGAGGTGTGATTTACGAGGAAAGACTAAAGGAGGTAAACGTCACGTCACAGAGAACCTCATAGTATACATGATCGCCATATACAAGGTACTGAAAGGAATAGACGGGGGCTATATAGCATAGGTAGTTCACGAACAGGACGATATAAATGTTAAGTACCCAAGTGAGCCACAGAGACATGTGTCTCATGGTACAGCCCATGGTACGTACGTACGAGCAAACTCCATACGCAGCTGTAAATGTAGATAAGACATAAACCAATAGGATCCTGAACCTATTGGGTTCATCTATACAACCTCTCAATCCGTAATTAATCGGTTAAGGAGTGAGAGGCCAGGGACCCCAAGACTCGTCCCAAGCAAATGCAAGAGCTCTGCATTTTGGAGCTCTGTCTGCGAGAACAGAGCTCCAAAAATTGAAGATGATAATCACGAGGAGTTGTTCCTGCTTAATAGCTTTCGTGTAATCATTGAGAGCTCTTTGTACCAATCTGTGGGTTTCCTGGACGCCGCCGCACTCATGGGGTCGCCACTAGTCAGTCATAAAACTCATTTAATTTACATGCTCCAACTTCCCTTTGGAAGTTGGAACGGAATATCCGGGAAACATAAAGTCTTTACACCTTGAGCTGAAGGTCGAGGAGCTGTGGTCGAGGACCAGATACTTGAATATCTGGATCCAGCTCAGTCCTTGACGTCTTGTAGGGGAGGGGGGAGGGGGCAAATATGGGTACATTAGGGTTCCATTATTAGTGGAGCTCTTTGTCCATTTGAACTGTTTCTTGATTTGAAATGAACTCTGCATTAATTTTGATAAAAGTATTACAGTATACAAATTAAAAGTTACTTCTCTTTATCTCTGTATCACTAATTCAGACAAAATTAATGTTCATTGTAGATTGTTGATAAAATTAAACCAATTAATAATTGATAGAAAACAAAACTGAGCCAAGCTACATTGGTTCAGTGTTGGATTACAACCAAATACATCACTTCTTCTCATCACTAAACCGCTTCATGTCATGGATCAGGTTTACTCCTGATGTTGGTGGTGGCATCACCGCCGGTGTGGACCAGTGGTGGCATCACCGCCGGTGTGGACCAGTGGTGGCATCACCGCCGGTGTGGACCAGTGGTGGCATCACCGCCGGTGTGGACCAGTGGTGGCATCACCGCCGGTGTGGACCAGTGGTGGCATCACCGCCGGTGTGGACCAGTGGTGGCATCACCGCCGGTGTGGACCAGTGGTGGCATCACCGCCGGTGAGGACCAGTGGTGGCATCACCGCCGGTGAGGACCAGTGGTGGCATCACCGCCGGTGTGGACCAGTGGTGGCATCACCGCCGGTGTGGACCAGTGGTGGCATCACCGCCGGTGTGGACCAGTGGTGGCATCACCGCCGGTGTGGACCAGTGGTGGCATCACCGCCGGTGTGGACCAGTGGTGGCATCACCGCCGGTGTGGACCAGTGGTGGCATCACCGCCGGTGTGGACCAGTGGTGGCATCACCGCCGGTGTGGACCAGTGGTGGCATCACCGCCGGTGTGGACCAGTGGTGGCATCACCGCCGGTGTGGACCAGTGGTGGCATCACCGCCGGTGTGGACCAGTGGTGGCATCACCGCCGGTGTGGACCAGTGGTGGCATCACCGCCGGTGTGGACCAGTGGTGGCATCACCGCCGGTGTGGACCAGTGGTGGCATCACCGCCGGTGTGGACCAGTGGTGGCATCACCGCCGGTGTGGACCAGTGGTGGCATCACCGCCGGTGTGGACCAGTGGTGGCATCACCGCCGGTGTGGACCAGTGGTGGCATCACCGCCGGTGTGGACCAGTGGTGGCATCACCGCCGGTGTGGACCAGTGGTGGCATCACCGCCGGTGTGGACCAGTGGTGGCATCACCGCCGGTGTGGACCAGTGGTGGCATCACCGCCGGTGTGGACCAGTGGTGGCATCACCGCCGGTGTGGACCAGTGGTGGCATCACCGCCGGTGTGGACCAGTGGTGGCATCACCGCCGGTGTGACCACACTCGGGTCCCCGCGGCCCGGTCCTCGACCAGGCCTCCACCCCCAGGAAGCAGCCCATGACAGCTGACTAACACCCAGGTACCTATTTTACTGCTAGGTAACAGGGGCATAGGGTGAAAGAAACTCTGCCCATTGTTTCTCGCCGGCGCCTGGGATCGAACCCAGGACCACAAGTCCAGCGTGCTGTCCGCTCGGCCGACCGGCTCCCTACGACAAAAATTCAACCTAACCAGAAAAATAAGAACCCAAGCAACCCACCTAACCTACCGAGTCCGATGCATAGAAAAGTCGATACTTGTGATCCGTTACTTTTCATAATAGGTGTAATTTGTAACGTTGGTTACCATAACGTAAAGAACGTGACCTGTTAGTTGACATGACGAGGATAGGACATGAGCGTCGCCTCTCTTGTGAGTGCTGGCCGGACGCTTCCCGGTAATGACGTAACATGTGACTGGACTGTAACATGTCACTCGCTGAATTCGTACCCAAGAATCGTATTGGAGTGTTCCTTGCTCTTTCTGTTGTATTTAGATAGTCGAAATGCAACAAAAATAATGTGCTGTAGTTTGCGCGCCAGCAAGTGCAGTTTTGGAGCTAAAGATGTTGATTTTTGTACCAATTTATTGAGAGCAGGAGCTATGTTGATATTTCCAGGTGTTAAGAGTAACACGTGACTCATGTACACACCTGTTAGTCTGGTTCTCTATTATTCCTCAGTTGTTTGTGTATACTGATAAGCATGTCAATATTTACCCGAGGGCCACATCTGACCTGACCAACGAGAATGTCTGTATCTGTCCAGGGATTGATGCCAGACGCCTGGGGCTAGCGTTACTAAACTTTGCAGGGTGATGTGGCGAGTGAAATGTGGTGGCCATAGGAGGTCGAGGAGGCTCCACGAGGTCGCTGGAAACGAAATGTTTGAGGCAGAATTCCTAGTTGAATCATTTGCTCATAGTATTACTATATGCAGGTATTGACATGCATTTTGCATGTTCCGTAGATTTACATGCTGGGAGGAGGCGTGCTCTCGACACTTTAATGTGTAACCTTTTGGGGTGAACCCGGGCCCCGCCGGGTACCTCTTAACATTTTTTTTTATCCAAAATCTATTATTATATCTTTAGTAACAAAGAGAAGCTTGAGGCAGCAGGTGTGTGCCTCCAGGGCCCCCCCCACCTTGCCGTGTGGGCCCTTAAGGGTGGTGTGTGGGGCCCCCACCCAGCCGTGTGGGCCCTGAGGGGGGGGGGAAAGGAGGGTCAGACTCGCTCAAGCGTCGCCAGAGAACATCACCTAAAATTAGCGGCGCTGCAGGTAAATATTCCTTAATTGAATGTTTGATAAGGTGGCCAGTCACTTGGGCTGGGTATATTCTGCTGGCCTGGGAATGTTAATTGGAGTCTTAATGAGTTATGGGCGTTTTGGTCCCTCGGGTGGCGGCGGGTTGGAGGTGCAGTTTACTCTAGTTTGTTTACTGTGGTTTATTTATGATCTGGTGGGCGTTTGGTACTTTGCTTTTATAGGAGATTCAGATGGAAATAAATGATGATAAACGGAACTGATAACATGAGTATGGTTGATATATAAAAAAAAGGTGCCGTGCCACAGATGCAAGGTGACCAACCACGCGTACAGGGGCCATCTTTAACGACGGGGCCCCTGAGCGTGGCTGCGTCGGCAGCTGGAATTCCCCCATCGTGTCTTGGCTTCCAGGAGTTAGACAGCTGGGTTTTTTGGAAGCCAAGGCTGTCTGAACTTGGAATTGTCTGAGTACTCTAGATGCTGGTGGAGAGCCTGAGGCTGGTGGAAGGGCTCGCAGAGCTCCTCACCTACTTCGACCAGCAGGATGGCCTCAGGTGTCTATGGAAAGCTCTTAGGTGAAGAGGACTTCGAGTGTCCTCTTCCTGAGCTCTTTCTTTCACATCCCCCGTTCCACTAATTTGTGTATTGCCATAATTTCAAGATATCGAAAAAAATTATTTTGAATTGGTTAAGAGAAATAATACATTACGTAATATGTATATAGTGGACATAGTTATTCAGAGTCGTAAAAGTATAAGGCATAATAGTAGGTTAGAGAGGACTAGCA